ATATATAGTATATGGTTATATTGTGTATTATATATATATATATATATATAATACACAATATAACCATATACTATATATGTATGCATAATCAACCAGCACAAGGAAATTTTACATGTTTTCTGTATTAAGCAAAAGACTACTAGCAGCCATTTCACGTGGCTATTCTGATCAGACATTTCCTTCGCTTAATTCATATACCCTTTATTGAAAATAACTTTAAATACACATTTGGACCATGGCTTAAATACTCTGACCATTACATTACGTACATGCCTATTCATTCAGCTTATACACCATTCATTACCCATGCTGCGGCAGCAAACGCCCTCGTTAACTATCAGTCTCTCCTGATAAAATAAACACATGCAGATCGTTGGCAACACACTTTTAGATAATTTTAACCCAAACTAACCTCAAATGATGCGGTTCTTGCCCACAGGATCTACATTAATGCAAGCTGAGCAGCACACGCGTCTGTGACATTGAACCCCGCATGTTGTTGACCCGATTGTTTCGCAATGCTATTGGTGAGGCGCACAACGTACGTCATGTTGCCGCGACGTGCCAACATATTATGCTGATCAAGAGTGCGTCAGTTTTGCGCATTCTGGGATGTGTTAATATAATTCTATTATGTATTATTCTGTTATTAATATGTGCAGTAAACATCCCAATATAAGCTGTTTATACATATATAAATGATTATGGAAAGATCTGTTTTGTTGTGAAATGTATTGTTTTGAGCGTCATGTTTTTTTTAATAACCTGCGCAAGGGCCGTGTCCAGTTGACAGTCATGAATACAAACGGCATCCATAATGTGCATGTAGTGTATGTCGGCGCATGGACGCTCAATTCGAGTGATGATAGTGTTATGATATGATGATGACTATGAATATAGAGAGGTTTGTCAGTAAGGGTAAAGGAAATGGTTTGCGTGCTCTGCGCGAAATCAAAGCCGGTGAGGCGATTCATTCATGCGAGCCGTATTCATTCTGCATCGCCAAGGATTTCTTGAAAACTGCCTGCCATAGTTGTCTCAAGAGGTAAGAAACCATATTTCATTTCCAAAATATTTTTTATTTAGAGAAAACAACTTATTCAGAGGGTTATTTCCAGCCACGTGTTTATTGCTCAGGTTAGTGAATGTCAAAATGTGTTTGGGGGTCAGAGATGTGGTGCATCTACGTTATAATGCGAAATATTGATTTCAGAAAAGTATCATGGTACTATTATGTGTATTTTTGGACATATAGGCTACAATGTTTATTTTGGACAATATATCTATGTATTTGAACAAATGGTACTGGTAGTGACATGGTACCATGTATGTAACATAGTACATGCTCAGTACCATAGTATATTTCAAAGTACCATGGTATTTGTATCAGTACTGCTTTGTAAGGGTAAATAGCAAAAACCAGTCTGCATGCTTCTCTTCTCTTCTGCCGTTTTACCTATGTTTTTGTGATATGAAATGAGTTTGTATGATGACAACAACAGATTCAAAGCAACCATAAACTGATGCAGGACGAAGTAATGCATGACACTTCTGAGTGTGTTCTCTAGGGGGCGCTGTTGCTCTTTCTCTGATGTTGCTGCACCTTGAATTATTTTGTTTGGATGTTGTTTTTGTTGGTCAGCTAATGAGGCGTGTCAGACATTACTGTGCAGTTTATATAGGCTACCTAAAATAAAATAATCTATAGTATAAAGCCTTCACACTTCCTTTTGGATAAGAAAAATACCCCTAAAGTGCACTAACTTTACTTTTGGTGAAGGCAGTTTTAGCACATTTCGACCCTCTATTCTAATTGGCAGGATTAATTAATTTTTCACTGCACATCAAATGGATAAATATGTTGTTTTTTTCTTCATTTTTTAAAATGTCATTTTAATCAGTTAAGTGTTTTTTTTTTTTAAACACTACTCGTACTACTCATCTGCAGTGTGTATTATATATATATAGAAAACATACAGTAGATGATCCGCTTGTTTTGACCTTCCATTTCAGTTTGATGATGCAGAATTCATATTATCAGTGATAATATATACTTTTTATATGATAAATATTGTAACAATTAAAACTGTTATGTTTTTATAGTTTCGGCTCATTTTTTTTAGACTATTGTGAATTTTAGTTAAGATGGCTTTACATAAGATTTGATAAAAAATTATCTATAAAAACATGTATACTGTATATGTTCTTAACTCATGATAGTCTAAATATATGTATATAAAATTCTTAAAAGAATGACATTTTCTTTTTATGATAGTTTTAACTCATGGTAGTCTAAATATAGATAATTATTAAAAAAAAATACAAAATATGCATTGCATTCGGCAAAAGCATACACATGCATATACTGTATATATACTTAAGTCATGGTAGTTTAAATATATGTATGGAAAAACTAAAAAAGAAATACAAAATATGCAATTTTGTAATCTTAGTTTTAGCTCATGGTAGTCTAAATATATATATAGCATACTACTGTTTGGAATTTTTGTTATTGTGTAGTATGGACTGTGATTTGTTTTAGTTTTTTTAGTTTAAGGGGGCATAGATGAGTGCACTACATCTGTATTGTGTAACATGGCCTAGAGAATGGATATACAGTACGTTCAGTGAAGTTCACAGAAACCAATTACCTCTCAGTCAGAACTAATTTACATGTTTACTCAAGTTGCACCAACACTGACAGATCAGTTAAGCATTAATCTGATCCAAATTTTTATTCAAATACAGGCCAAATTCAAATATAAGCCTCACTTTTCTATGTTGCGCATCAGAAAAGCAAAGTTTGTTGTTGAGAGCATCTGTTGAGAGAGTTTTCATCACCTTTCAAAATATCACTGTCAAAAGTCATTTTTGTTAAAGGTTTCTTCTCGTGATCCAGCAGTCTGGCTTGTTTGTTGTCATCATTGCTATTCATTTCAGACATGTACTGTATTTTCATTTTCAGAGGTGTAATTTTTCCTCTCGCCGAGCAGAAAGCGTGTGTAGGATGATGCTGTAATGAGATTGACGTTTCTAGCAGATGTGCTGTGATTTAATTCACACCAGCTTTTCATGCCCTCTCTGTAGCTTGATCGTTTCTGACACTTGATTAGAGTCTACAAAACTCTCAGTGCCCACAAATGCTCATGGATGGTGTGTCAGACAGTGCATAAAAATTGAGATTGTTAATGTATTCCAGTGAACTGAGTGAAATTTGGCATCTATGGTTCCATGATGAACCTTTAAAATCCATGGAACCACACCATTACACAAAAGGTTCTTCATAGTGGGAAAAGGTTCTTTAGATTATTAAAGGTGTCATATGATGCTGCTAAAAAGAACATTATTTGGTGTAATGAAATGTGTTTATGCGGTTTAAGGTTAAAAAAACACATTATTTTCCACATACTGTACTTTATTGTTTCTCCTCTATGCCCCGCCTTTCTGAAACGCCTATACTAACGCACTCTTTAAATAACAAAAAAAACTACTGCGCCATTGACTTTAGACCAGGTTTTTGTTGGTCAATGGCGCAGTCTATTTCAGTTGCCTCAAAATAGCAACGCGCCAGCAATCCGCCTGAACACACCTCGTTTTCAGACCAGCACGCCCATGAGCGCACAAATGGGCGCAAATGCATTACCTATTTAAACAACGTGGCGCAGGACGTGAAAATGACAACTGGGTCGGGCTGAAACTAGCAAAAAACACCGCATTGCGCCGGGTGTATGATAGGGCCCACTGTTTCTCAAGCGCTTTCCGCGAGCGCGATGTGTTTCATTCATTCGTTCATAACCACTCATACCCCCACTCCCCTGCATTCGCTTACTGGATCATTGGACTGAAAACATTCCCTGAGTTTAGCAGCTTAAAATTATCTTTGCGTTAACTGCGTTAAATTGTTTTAATGAGTTAAGGATTGTAAAATTAATCGCATGCGTTAACGTTGACAGCCCTATTAAAAACGTCTTAATTATGGATTTGTTTCTTACAAACACACATCTTTTCACTTCACAAGATGTTAACTGATGGACTGGAGTGGTGTGGATTACTTGTGGATTATTGTGATGTTTTTATCAGCTGTTTGGACTCTCATTCTGACGGCACCCATTCACTGCAGAGGATCCATTGGTGAGCAAGTGATGGAATGCTAAATTTCTCCAAATCGGATGAAGAAACAAGCTTATCTACGTCTTAGATTGCCTGAGGGTAAATTTTCAGCAAATTTTCATTTTTGGCTGAACTATTCCTGAACTTTTTTTTTTATCTTGCAATGGACCATGACAATATTTGTGTTTTCCTACTATAAGACTGTTTTTTGGAATTGATGTAGATTTTTCTTGTTGCACACATATATAAGCACATTATAGATATTTCAAGTTCACAGATGTGTCAAGCATACAAATCACAGTCTAAAAGATGCCTGTCTGTGGTAGTTTGAGGCATCATCAGTTGTCATTTCGTTTGTTTCACACTGTGCGCTTTTACTCCAAAGTGTGTCACAGAACATCAAACATTTCTCACAGGTAATTTAAGTAGGCCTACTTTATTTATTAATTTATTTTATAATGAGGTTATGATAATTCTCCCGTGCACTTGTTTTTAGAGTCATGTTGAGTAAACACACACACCCTTTTTCTGGTTCTCTTCCTCCTCCTGCTCTCTTTTATTCATCTGTTCCCTGTCGAGGTATTAATTGCCATCTGGTTTTTGCCGTTTGGCTGGTCGAGGCGGCCGTTCATCATATTTCAGGTATGTCATTTTCCTGACTCCCGCTCAATGCTTTTCTGAGCGTGACCTTGTGGAGTGGATCTTTCCACTTGAGAGGGAGGGAAAACAGCAGACAAACAGGCTCAGAAGACAGTCATTTCTGGCCGGGGATTAGTGCTTCAGTCCTGCTGATAACCTGGCTCATCTATAGAGAGCCGTCTGCACGGACTCACCCAGGAGAACACTGGATGAAAAGAAACGCCATGGAAACAGAACGTTAATAATCCGCTCAGAAGAGCTCTGTATTGTAATGGTCCCTGACTGCTGCTCTGAATAAACCCAAAGATGCTTGTGCTGTCGCAGAGCTCAAAGAACTGATTTTACAATATGTTCAGAAATGAGCACTTTAACTCTTTACAGATGATGGTATCAGATGGTAATACTACGGTATTCAAAACTATACCATGAAACTGTTATTAACGATTTTTTTAACAATAAAAGAAAAATGCGATATTCAAAATAATATTATGTAAAAATAAATTATTTCTTAATTTTGCAATATTTAACATTTATGAATTTAAATAATCTGTCTGTCATCATATAATTATAATAAACATATTCATATATTGTTATTTATATATATTTCTATATATTTTTCCAAAATATATCATATTAAATGTTCAAAAGTTCTGTAAATTAAACAGTGTATTACATATATACATGTATAGTACATATTTTTTAAATGTAATATTCAAAATTAGTATAACGATTCTAAAATAATGTAACTTGAATGATGTATTTTTTAAATTTGACATTTTTTACATTTATGTATGTACATAATTTTGAATAACTATATTCATATAATTGTAATAAGTTTGTTAATATATTGTTATATATTTCAATGTTTGTATTTAAAAAATGCTATATTCAAAATATTAAATAGTACTATTAAATATATATAAAAAAAAAAAATTATATGATATTTTACATATATTTCTATGTATTTCTTAAAATAGGCAATATTCAAAATTACTATTAAACATAAAAATATGAAAAATGTATAATTTTAGTATATGGATATTTACGCATTTACATATTTTTGAATTACTGCTGAGATCCCTCAGATGCATGACATTGATGTTGTGTTGTAACATCGTTCGTTCCTAATCGTGATAGATTAAACTGCTCTTGTTATGCTATTCTGCTGAAAGCAGTGCAACAGATGCTGTAGACTTGCTCTCATGGGCTTAATTTAGGAATAATGAGATCCATGACACAGCATACGGAGAGTTTTTTAAAACGAGTCTGCATTTAGATGAATATTAATAACTATGC